TTGATCTCGTAGCTGTAAGCTTTTGAGTGGGTTTACAGCAGCATGCGTTGTCATCTTGAATGGATTCATTACAGATTCCCGAGCCGAGAGGGGAAGAGCCCTGCAGCCTAGTTTCTGACCACCACCCTGATGCCTGCATTAAATAGTATTGTCGTTTTCATCCGTGCCTTTGGTGATGACTTGAATGTTGAATGTGCGAGTGTGTGGAAATGGGGTTAGAGTTGTCTAGCCTCCAAGTTCTTGGCCTTTTCTTAGCTCCCTATTGCCCTGCCACGCTCCTCCACGCTCCTCCTCCACGCTCCTCCACGCTCCTCCACGCTCCTCCACGCTCCTCCACGCTCCTCCTCCACGCTCCTCCTCCACGCTCCTCCACGCTCCTCCACGCTCCTCCACGCTCCTCCTCCACGCTCCTCCACGCTCCTCCTCCACGCTCCTCCACGCTCCTCCACGCTCCTCCACGCTCCTCCTCCACGCTCCTCCTCCACGCTCCTCCTCCACGCTCCTCCTCCACGCTCCTCCTCCACGCTCCTCCTCCACGCTCCTCCACGCTCCTCCACGCTCCTCCTCCACGCTCCTCTACACTCCTCCACAGCTGGAGCTGGAGCTGTCAAAGGGAAAGAGACCTAAGCCAGCTGTGTACTCCTCTTCTTTGAAAGGAGCCAAAGACACGATGACAAGAATGCTGTCCTGAGTCTGAGTCGCCGTGAAATGTCCTCTCTCTCTCTCTCTCTCTCTCTCTCTCTCTCTCTCTCTCTCTCTCTCTCTCTCATAAGCAATCTTTTTCTCCCACTCTTTTTCAAGGTAGTTAGATACTCCTACCTCCTCAGATACCCTTCTTCTTCCTGGTATAGATTAGTCTTATGTACCATTCTGTATAGAAGATATGTAATATATTTACATTTAGTTCAGTTTTTAAACTTTTACTTGTGTGCGTGTGTATGTGTGTATGTGTGTGTGTGTGTGTGTGTGTGTGTGTGTGTGTGTGTGTATCTGAGAGAGAGAGAGAATTCTCTAAGTTCTCTGACCTCATCTGTCCCCCCCTCTTCCACCTTTTTGAGGCAAGGTTCTCTAACCACTGAGCAGTGAACTTCAAGCTAGTTAGCCTATAGCCTTCCACCAGTTGTCCTGTCTCTGTTTCCCGTTGGCTCCATGGATCAAACTCAGGTTGTAAGCTTACATGACAAGGGCCTTCACCCACTGAGACATCTCCGTGGACCTGTGGTTAAAATTCTAAATTAATCATTTTATTTATTGGCTGCTCATGTTGGCACATACTTGTAATCTCAGAACTTGGGAGGTAAAGGCAAGGAGGATCATGAGTTTAGAAATATCTATGTAGCCCAGGCTAGCCCCAGACTTTTTCCTCAGCCCCCCAAGTCCTGGGACTACAAGCTCGAGCCACAATGCCTACCTAGTAATTTTCTCTTATTATAAAAGAAGTAGTCATACATTATAGGAAAAACTGAATACACAGACAGAAAGGAAGAAGAAAGGAACACGTGAAAGCCAACCATTCGGACAAAACAATGTGTACAGGGCTAAGGAGGTAGTGTGCCCACTGAGTGCTCTCTTAGAATGTGGAAAGCCTTGCATTCAACTTCCAGTACTGCCAAATAATAAGATAAAATAAAACAAAAATGCGCAGATAACCCCCAGAGTTTCCATATATCCTGGTACAGTTTCCCCACTATTAATGTTGTATATTACTATAATGCATTTGTTACAATTAATGAACCACTATAATATATATATATATATATATATATATATATATATATATATAGAGAGAGAGAGAGAGAGAGAGAGAGAGAGAGAGAGGGTTTCTCTGTGTAGCCCTGGCTATCCTGGATTTTAATCTGAGGACCAGGCTGGCCTCAAACTCACAGAGATCCACCTGCTTCTGCCTCCCCAAGTGCCAGGATTAAAGGTGTGAGCCACCATTGTCTGGTATATTATCATTTTTCAAGGTTCACATTCCATTCAATGTGGTGATATTTTGTTTGTGCTCTAACAAATAAAGCTTGCCTGGAGATCAGAGTGCGGAGCTAGCCACTAGTTAACCATAGAGGCCAGGCAGTGGTGACACATACTTTTAATCCCAACACTAGGAAGGAGGAAACAGAAAATGATATGGCTGGGCGGAGAGAGCAATTTGAGGTGGGAGGAGCCCGGAGCTCACCCCTCTCAGGCTGAGGAATTTCAGGGTAAGAGGTGGCTGTGGCTGGCTCCTTTGTCTCTCTGATCTTTCAGCATTTACCCTGATATCTGGCTCTGGGTTTTTATTTTTAAGACCAATTAGGGTTCACACTACAATTCAGATTTCTTCAGTTTTTATATAATGGTCTTTTCATGTGTCGCGATCCCATCCAGAATACCCCATTACATTTTATCTCATCCCCCTGGGCTCCTGTGAGCTATGACAGTTTCTCAGTTTCTTATTTGTTATAATCTTGACAGTTTTGAAGAGAACTGGTCAGACGTGCTGCAGGCTAGCCCTCTGTTGGAAGCCATTGCTTTTCACTGACTGAACTAGACTTAAGCGTGTTGGGAATGATGACACAGAGGTAAAGGTAACAAATCCGTCACATGTATGGAGGTGTAGCACTCGGGAAGCTGAGTGTTCAAGGACAGCCTGGGCTACATAAGGACACCTTGTCAAGGAAGGATGGAAGGAGAAGAGGAGGAGAAGGGGAAGGAGGCTGCTGGCTTGTAGTCCCAGCACTCTGGAGCAGAGGCAGGCAGATCACAGGTCACTGTCACTGTCTGCTACATAGTGAGTTTCAGGCCAGCTTGGGCTATCAGAGACCCTGAGTCAACAAAACAAGAAAAGAAACAAATGTCTTTATATCCTGTTAAGAATATGTATTACCCACGTGAGTTGCTGCAGGATGTCCACTGGAAAGTTACTCTATACCCTCCAATTTGCCAAAAGCATGTGGGACAACTCACACTTATGAATCAGGAATTACACTCCTGTCCTGTTAGCGTGGGATACCTACATGCTTTGGTTTATGTTTTAGTTTGGACTATCTACATAGTTTGTTTAGAATTCTGCATGGGACATTGGTCTTTTCCCAGGCATTCATATCACTGTGTACTCATGGACATTTACTTTGTACTTTGGGATTATAATCTAATGTTGATTTTTCTTATTGTGGGGCTGAAGGGACGGCTCTGTGGTTAAGAGCTCTGTTCAAGTCCCAGCTCCTGATCAGGCACAACCACCATCTGTAATTCCAGTCTCTGGAGAAACAGTGCCCTCTTCTGGCCCCTGTGGGCACTACACACACAGTACACATACCTACAACACACTCATACATGTAAAATAACACAAAAATCTCCAAAATAAAATGACTTGTTTTATTATTATGGGTCTGTGTGTGTGCACATGAATTCAGGTGCCCATGAAGGTCAAAGGCATTGGATCCCCTGGAGCTAGAGTTGCAGGAGGTTAGAAGCCAACCCTTGTGAGGGCTGGAAATCAAATTCATCTGGAAGAGTAGTTCCCACTCCTAACCACTGAGACAGCTCTGTAACCAAAATTTATTAATTTTCATGCTTTAAAATATTTTAAAATATTAACTTGACTTATGTGTGTGTGCCTACTTGCCTGTAGGAACCCCGTGTGTGAAATGTCTATGGAGGCCATAAAAGGGCATTGGATCTCCTGGAACGGAGTTACAGGCAGTTGAGAATTCCTGATGTGAGAGGTGGGAACCAAACCCAGGTCCTCGGCAGGAGCAGCATATACTTTTAGGCACCAAGTTAGCACTCCAACCCCCCTTTAAAAATATATTTTTTAAAATGTCTTAAAGGGGGCTGGGGAGATGGCTCAGCAGTTAAGTGCACTGGCTGTTCTTCCAGAGGTCCTGGGTTCAATGCTCACCACCTACATGGCAGCTAACAACTGTCTGTAACTCCAGTCCCAGGGTGCCCAATACCCTCATACAGATATACGTGCAGGCAAAACACCAATGCATGTAAATAAAATTGTTTTTAATGTTTTAAAGTTGTGTGTGTGTGTGTGTGTGTGTGTGTGTGTGTGTGTGTGTGTGTGTGTGAGAGAGAGAGAGAGAGAGAGAGAGAGAGAGAGAGAGAAGGCACCCATGCCCATGGAGGCCCGACAAGGGTGTTAGATTCCCTGGAGCTGGGTTTACAAATGGTTGGGAGCTACCAGATACAAGCAAGTACTGGGAACTAAACTCCATTCCTCTGCAAAAAGCAGGGCATACTCTTAACCACTGAACGATCTCTCCAGATCCCTATTTGTTTATTTTTGAGACATGATCTTGCTATTCAACCCTGAGTAGCCTGGAACTCTATGTAGACCAGGCTTGCCTCAAACTTGCAATCCTCCTGCCTTAGCCTTCCAAGTGTGGGGCTGGGATTACAGGTTTGTAGCATCACTCCTAACTTGATGTTTTATTTATTTTTTAATTAGTTAATTATATCTTTTATAATTTATTTATGTTGCTTTTTTTTCCCCCAAAAAACAAGGTTTCTCTGCATAGCCCTGGCTGTCCTAGAACTTTGTCTATAGACCAGGCTGGCCTCAAACTCAGAGATCTGCTTGCCTCTGCCTCCCAAGTGCTGAGATTAAAGGCATGCACCACCACTGCCCATCACCATTGGCTTTTTAAGTGTCACAGAGAAACAATTTGGAATATAGCTCAGACATAGAGTATTACCTAGCATGAGAAAGGTCCAGGGTTTGAACCTCAGCGTTGAGAAAAAAGTCGGCCGGGCGGTGGTGGCGCACGCCTTTAATCCCAGCACTAGGGAGGCAGAGCCAGGCGGATCTCTGTGAGTTCGAGGCCAACCTGGGCTACCAAGTGAGTTCCAGGAAAGGCGAAAGCTACACAGAGAAACCCTGTCTCGAAAAACTAAAAAAAAAAAAAAAAGAGAGAGAGAGAGGGAGAGAAAAAAGTCACCCGACATAGAACACCGGGTGTCATGTAGCTCCTTGTACTTCTTTATCTCTTTGTTTTTGTCTTTATTAGGTTTTTCTCACTGGATCTCGGAGTATCCAGGCCCCCTCCACCATGGCCAGCCGGGGTGGGGGCCGGGGTCGTGGCCGAGGCCAGTTGACCTTCAACATGGAGGCTGTGGGCATTGGGAAGGGTGAAGCTTTGCCTCCACCCACTCTACAGCCTTCTCCACTCTTCCCTGTGAGTGTCTCCTTTCCTTTCCTAAGACTCCCACGTGCCCCCACTGACCACATGTGACCACGGAATCCTCCTGGCCCATCCTAAGCTGCCCTCATCTTGACCCTCTGTCTCCAGAGTCCCGAAGATGCTTTCCAGGCAAAGGGATGTTTATCTTTTCTCTTCATACTCCCCCACTCCCCAGCTTTCAAAAGATGCCGTATTGTCCTCCCATTCCTCTGGCCCTCTATTTACAGGGAACAATGGATGCAACTTAGGGGAAGGCCCTTTAAGGTTTTTCTACAGCGGTTTCGTCCTAAGCTAACCATTGTGCCTCCTCAGCCCTTGGAGTTCCACCCAGTGCCTCTGCCCGCAGGAGAGGAAGGGGAGTATGTCCTGGCTCTGAAGCAAGAGCTGCGTGGGGCCATGAGGCAGCTCCCATACTTCATCCGGCCAGCTGTCCCCAAGAGAGGTCAGTGCCCATGCCCAGCACCCTTGGGGACCAGGGCGACTCAGGATGTCCACTCTCTAATGGAGAGAGCATCAAGATTCCCTCTGTGTCTGAACCACATCGGCTGACGCTTACTCGAGATTTGAATTGAGCTCTAATCTCGGGGCTGATGGGGACATTGAAGCATTAGCATCTCATGTGTCTAGTTGGGGGTGCAGTACAAACTTTACCACAACTCGGCCGCCTCTGAACTAGTTGGAAGGACCCTCAGCTAGGTCTCAGAACCCTACCTATGCCAAGCATCTTCCCTTCACTGGTGAGCAGGAGACGGAAGAAGGCAGGCTTGGGATCACAGATAATTACCCGCGCTGAGGAAGTCCAGTCTTTTAGTGTTGGCGATTTAAGGCTTTAACACTGAGGCCTTGAGAGCTGAAGGCTCCCTGGGGTGGGAGACTCACCAAGCTAACCCTATTAGTAGGAGGGAAGGAGAAGACTGAACCCCTGGTTTTTATCCTGGCGTATACTGTCCAGTGACCCACGCTGCCTCTCAGAAGAGCAGAGTCTGCACTAAGGGCGAAGTGTAGCAGAGAGGCAGTTTGGAAAGGGAAGGTCTTCACGGACCCCACTGGGTTTGGAGTGGGGCGACCAATAATTAATAGAATTAAGAGGGGTAGACCCTTAGGAATAATTTTCTTTCCTACGGATAAAACTCTGACTCCTGACCTCTGACCCCTCAGATGTGGAACGTTACTCAGACAAGTATCAGATGTCTGGGCCGATCGACAATGCCATCGATTGGAACCCTGGTAGGTGACCAGCCCTCACTGAATGCCCTTCTTCAGAGGTGCCGTGAGGTGCCTGGAACCACCGCCCTGCTCCCTTTCCTGCGCAGCATCCAGAAACTAGAATCCTAGATGTGCTCTCGACACTCTCGGGGTCTGTTAACAGTGCCACCAGACTTCAAACCAGCCCCTCCTTCCTGTCCTCTAAAGCCCTCCCCGCCCCTTAGTACCAGTCGTGGCCCACGGAAGCCCCAGACAGGGTCCTGCTGACCTCCACACTCTCACTGTCCCCAGATTGGCGGCGGCTACCCCGGGAGCTCAAGATTCGAGTTCGGAAGCTCCAGAAGGAACGTGAGTGAACCAGGAAGAGGGTGAGGGTTCGCGGCGGCCGATGCCACAGTAGCCACGGGAGGGCAGCAGAGTGGCATGTTGGCTGCCGGAGGGCGCTGCAGAAAGCCCGGATGGAGCAGACGTTGCTCAGCTGATAAAGACAGCCGCCACCAATCCCTAGAGCTGAGCTCACAGAGTGCAAAGAAGAGCCCGTCCTAACTTCCACATCACTCACGCGCGCGTGCGCACACACTCACACACACCATTCAGCAAAACATTTTGTGAAAAATAAAAAGAAAGAAGAAGCACCCGAGAGTGGCTGAGTCCTCAAGCGCAGGTACAGCTTTCACTCACACCGGGCGGCTCACGGCTGTAACTCCAGCTGCAGGGGATCCAGTGCCCTCTTCAGGTCTCCTTGAGCACACAAGACACACACACACACACACACACACACACACACACACACACACACAATTTTAAAACTGGAAAGAAAGCTAGTTAGGAGATTGGCTTCCCCAGGGTTCACTTTTTGATCCTCCAAACAGGGACCACCATTATACTCCCCAAGAGGCCCCCCAAGACCACAGAAGATAAGGAGGAAACGATACAGAGACTAGAGGTGAGGAGGACCTATGATAGACAGCTGGACTCCAGGCCCCTTGGGGCCCCCGTTCCCCCTGTGTTAGCTGAGTGTGAGCTTCTCTTCCTGTTCATCCTCACATGAGACTCTGGAGAAGAAAGAGGAGGAAGTGACTTCAGAGGAGGAGGAAGAGAAAGAGGAAGAAGAAGAAAAGGAAGAAGGAGAAGAAGAGGAATATGATGAAGAAGAGCACGAAGAGGTGAAGGGGGCTGATGCCCTTCCCTCTCCCTCAGACCTCTCTCTCTTTTCCCCTCCCAAGCTCTGGACTCCTCTCTCTCTCTCTCTCTCTCTCTCTCTCTCTCTCTCTCTCTCTCTCTCTCCCTCTCTCTCTTGGTTTTTTGAGACAGGGTTTCTCTGTACAGTTTTGGTGTCTGTTCTGGATCTCACTCTGTAGACCAGGCTGGCCTCGAACTCACAGACAGAGATCCACCTGCCTCTGCCTCCTGAGTGCTGGGATTTAAAGGCCTATGCCTCCACCGCCCGGCAGTTGTTGGTATTTTTATGTTCAAGTGGGAAAAATATGCACTGCTGTATGACTTTGCCTGTCATCCTTGAACAGGGGCCAGGCTAATCTCTTTATCATCCCAATTTTAGTATAGGTGCCGCCGTAGCGAGCACATTCGTTTTGTTTTTGAGTCAGGGTCTCACTATGTAAGCTAGGCTGGCCTGGAACTCCCAGAAATCCTCCTGCTTCTACTTCCTAGTGTTGGGATTACAGGAGTACACCACCAGATTTATGATACAAAAGAGTGTTTTGATTTGTTTTTTTAGTGTGTGTGTGTGTGTGTGTGTGTGTGTGTGTGTGTGTGACAGCAAATGTGTGGAGGTCAGAACACAACCGTGGGAGTTGGTTCTCTCCTTCTACCACGTGGGTTCTGGGGGTTGAACCCAGGTCCTGCAGGTTGGCAGAGAGCTCCTTTTGTACTGGGCCACCCCACTCTCAACTCTTACACAGGAGATGTTCTCAGAGTGACGACGCCCCCCGTGGCTCTATTTCATCTGCCTCTGGCCTATTCTCAAAACACATAACATGGTGGATGAGAGGGCTCAGGGGGCCGAGGTGCTTGCTGCCAAGCCTGATGGCCTGAGTTCAATCCCCGGAACCCACTCTGTGAGGGACAGAACTGATCCCTGCAGGTGTCCTCTGACCTCCATGCGTGTATCAGGGCACACACACACACACACACACACACACACACACACACACATGCACCCATACACACATGGTCACGCACACAAGTAAATAAGTGTAGTTTAAATTTAAACGGCATGGGTTTGGAGTGGTGGCCCAGTGGTTAAAGGCAATTGCTGCTTTTCCAAAGGACGCACACTCCATCCCTGGCGCCCACATGGCAGCTCACAGCCACCTGTAACTCCAGTTCCAGAGCATCTGAGGCATCTGAGGGCACCAGGCATGCAAGCAGCACACAGACACAGGTGTTGACAAGACACACGGACACATGAAAAAGAAAACTAACTTTTGATGCTGGTGGGGTGTCCCAGACCTGGAAAGCTGTATCTGGGAGGGAGAGAGCCTGGAAAAAGACGGGGAAGAAAAACTCCGAAATCATTGCTGATCTTTGCTTCTTTTTACGTTTCAGGAAACTGATTACATCATGTCATATTTTGACAATGGAGAGGACTTTGGAGGTGACAGTGATGACAATATGGATGAGGCTATATACTGAAAACCCGGGCCCATGTATGTTCCTTGATTTGAGATATAGGGTCTAAAATTACTTAGGGTTTGTCCTGTTTTTGTTATTATTGTTTTTGAGATAGGATCTCACGTAGCTCAGGCTGGCCTGGATCTCAGTATGTAAGTGAGGTTGGCCTTGAACTCGCGATCATCCTACCTCCATCTCCCAAGTCTTGAGATCACTGGGGTACACCATCACACCAAACTTCCTGTTATTTCCTTTTGGGAGGAAAGCATTTAGTCAGGATCCGGGGGGCCTGTGTGCTCCCTGGGGCGTGCCCTTCAGATCTGTGTCGCCTCTCCATGTGGGGAGAGGACTGGTCTCTTAGTATGGAAGAAGAGTTGGAGTGTAACTGGGTTGTTAGAGTGGACACAGCTGTGGACACACTTCTCCCCAACTTTTGTAAGCCTTTATGGACACACTTGGGGTGGAGGCAGTCAAGAGGAGTCAGGCCTGGTTTGTATTTGTAAATAAAGTGTTTTTATCTGTCTCTCTACTCAGAGTGATGTCTACCCGGAAGGGGTGGGAGGAGAGGCCTTCTGAAGGGGATGTCCAGCCAAGTCATTCACACACACACACACACACACCCTCCACCCTGCCCCAAGTACTGAGGGTTGAATTGACAGCCTTACAAACGCTAAGCGAGTGTTCCATTACTATCCTCATATCCCCAACTCTTTTTATACATTTTTTTTTTTATTTTGAGACAGTGTTTTGATAAGTTGCCTAAGTTGGCCTTGAACTAACTCTGTAGCCCAAACAGGCCTTAAGCTCTCCCAGCCTCCCAAGCAGCTGGGGTCCCAGGCGTGTGCCCCCAGTGTCAAGCTTGTCCTTGACCTCTCTCCCCCGACAGGGGGCCCTCAGGAAATGTCCCGCACGATGTCTGAGAGCGACGTTGGGGAGCACGGGGAAGAGCACGGGGTCTCCCACAGACCAGCTGCCTGCCCCGGTCCTTGGCCTCCAGCGCAGGCACAGGGACTTGTGTGTTCAGGCACGTCCACAAGGACACCAGCCGTCTCTTTCTCGCACCTGACCTTGATCGTGTCCTTATTTACCCACGATTGCAGCTCTTTTTGTGCAGAGTCAAGAAAGCCAGGGGCCAGAGAGAGGGGTGGCACCCTGTTTTCAGCTCACTCGGTTCTCTTCCAGGACCCGGAGAGCCCGCTTTGAGAGGCCTATTTAGGGAACCCTAAATAACCTGTTCTCCACTCCCAAAGCGAGTGTATGGCTTGCAGTTTCCCGTCTAGTTCTCCTCCTTTGTGGAATTTAGTTAGCCTTTCTCACTCGACTTCGGGGAGGGGTAGGCGGTATTATCCTCCAGGAAGTAAGGAGGGTGGGGAGGAAGGGTGTGATTTGGGGACACTCACATCTCTAAGAGATGCTTCCTCGCCCACACAGCGCTCCCTGGGGTGAGGTCACTTCCCTAGGCTCTGATTGGCTTCCGAGGAAGCCTTCCTCGAGCTGATTGGTTGCATGCACTTGACATGCCACGGACACGAGAAAGTTGCGTGTCCAGTATAGAAACTGAGTAGGACCTGCATAGATATCTGGGGGTGCTGCCACGGGAGACCCCACTCACCCTTTAAAAGTCGTAAGATGGAATGTGGGAGACGTGTCAATAAATGTCTCAATTGCCTAAAAGGCAGGCCGACTGAATTTCCTACAGCATCGTGAGCTGCAGACCCGAAACCCCAAGTCAGATATTTCTGACCCCATTGTACATGGAGAACGCGGCTTTAGGCTCCGTGGAGGGAAAGCGTCTTTAAAAGGCTCGTTTAAATGTGGCAGCAAGTGTTAAGAGAGAAGCCCCGGCCAAGAAAACGGAGAAGGGAACAGGAATAGAAACGAACATTCCAGAGTTATTGAGCAATTTGTGATGATTGATGTGTTTCCTTTTCTAGCTCTGCGAGTGAAGGGTGGAGCCAGGGGACTTGTCGCTGGGGTTTCCCACAGTTACTCAGCTGGTGTGGCTGTGGCTAGGGAGGAAGAGCAGAAAACAAGAGGAAGACCCTCACAGCTTTTCTTTCGTCTTTCTCCACTACGTCCCCACACACCCAGGAGGGAGACACTATCCTAACCTCATCACTTAAATTTAGAGCTGTGGTGGGGGCACCTGCAGGCCACCGATGCTCCTCTGGAAACTCCCTTTTTATTATATTTCATTATTGGAAGGCAGGCAGGCTGGGGAGGTGTGGGGTGGGTTTAGAGGAACACCATGGCTTGTGTGTGAGGGCAGAGGATGACTTGTAGGAATCAGCACCCTCCTCTTACCCTATGAGCCATCTCATTGTCCCTGGAAGCTTCTTTTTTTTTTTTTTTTTTTTGGTTTGTTGAGACAGGGTTTCGGGCCATGGTGGCACAGACCTTTAATCCCAGCACTCAGGAGGCAGAGGCGGGTAGATCTCTGTGAGTTCGAGGCCACCCTGGTCTATAGAGTGAGATCCAGGACAGGCTCCAAAGTGACACAGAGAAACCCTGACTCTAAAAATAAATAAATAATAATTAAAAAAAAAAAAAGACAGCTCTGTAGCCCAGGCTGGCCTTGAACTCACGACAGCCCTGCGGGTCCATCCTTAAAGCAATGGAACAAAGATCTGGACAGGAGGTAGCAGAGAAGGGCAGGAGCCGCATCTCCACCCAGCTCTCCGGACGCACGGTCCCTCACGTCCCTTTTCCCATGATACAGGAGAAAGGAGGCCAAAGGTTGGAATGACCACTCGGCATCAGTTGTACTGTGCCTCAAAGACAGAGTGTGTGGAGATCAGGCCACTCGTGGACTCTGCCCTGCCTGGACGCCTGCCTGTCCTGGCAGATGACCTTGTTGGACAAAGCCGACGATGACACGAGACTCCGCACCTTCCCCAGATTCCTGAGCTGTTCCAGGCATGAGTTAAACTGTTCCCACTGACCTTTCCCCAACTTCCCATAAGCACTACCAGACAGGCAGAGGCCCGAGTCTAGGTCCAGGAGCCAGGGGCAGAGCTAACTAACCTTCCTGGAAAGGCACCTTAGCAGTTGAGGTCTTGCTCACAGACATTTACACCAGACCCAGGTGTGCTTGGCACTCATGTACACAATACCCACTAGGGACAGTTCTTATCGATTAAACTGTCCCCGTGCCCCCTGCCTGGGCTACAGAGTAGCCTCGATGGCAGGAAACCTACTCTTCCTGACCCAGGTGCCACCCCTACCCTCCCAGGCCTCTCCTACTTGGGCAGGACATGTAAAATTGTGAGTCTGCAAACAGGTGCAGGAACTCCAGTGGTCTGAGGAGAACCCACACAGAGATCTGGATGCAACGTGCAGTTTAGGTTGATTGTGGAGAACCAAGAAAACTGGAAAGCCAGAAGGCAGATGGATAGAATAATGAGGCACCTATGGTTTGGTAAGGAAAAGGTAACTGGTCTCTGCAACTCATTTTTATGGTTGTTTGAACTTTGAAAGTAAACAAGGGTGTGGACTGGCCAAGAACAAAAGAGGGTGTGGGGAACTGGGGGTGTAGCGCCATAGGTAGAGAGAGCACTTTCCTAGCATGCTCAAAGTCCTCCTTTCTGTCCCCAACACCACATAAACAGAGCATAATCGCTGGGCAGTCGTGGTGCACGCCTTTAATCCCAGCACTTGGGAGGCAGAGGCAGTCGGATCTCTGTGAATTTGAGGCCAGCCTGGTCTACAGAGCGAGATCCAGGACAGCCAGGGCTACACAGAGAAACCCTGTCTTGAAAAGCCACAAAAAAAAAAAAAAAAAAAAAAAAAAAAAAAAAGCATAGTGTCATATGCTTACAACCCTTGGCTACATGGAAAATTTGAAGCCAAACTGGGGTATAGGAGACACTGTCTCAAAAGACTTAAAAGAAAAAGAAACAGCAACAACAACAAAAAGCTGAGCCAGGGGGACTGATTGTCATCTCTGACAGGCAAAGCATCATCTCATTGCTTAGTTTTCTGCTCCATAGTCTTGTCCTCTTCAGAAAGTCGTGCCAAGACTCCGTGCCTCAGTTTCTTCTTGTCTGACATCTCCAGAGAACCCTACTGCCCAGTGGAGTTGGTGTTGATCCACTTGCAAAGGTACACATGGTGCTGGGTCTCATGTCATTGGCTTTGTCCAACAAGGTCACCGGCCAAGAAAAGCAAGACCCAGGCAGGGCAGAGTTCAAACATGACCTGGTTTTCATGACAGTTTGTTTTTGAGGCAGTACAACCAATCCCAAATGGTCACACCAACCTTTGTCCTCCAAATGGTGGGACAGGTCCCTGTCTTGCCAAGCTCATTCAATCCCCTTGATCTCCCCGCCTTATTTTCGGCCCCACGGGCTAAAGATACATCAGGCACATGGCCAGTTGTTTCCAAGAGCCTTTTCAGCCAGCGAAGCCGGAGATCAGCAATTCCTGCAGCTAATGAGAAAGCAGAAGACCCCTTCAGTGGAGAGGTCAAGGTCACAACCTGCAGGTCAGGGACTTTTTCAGCAAGGACAACACAGAGATTTTGGACCAGAGAAGGGGCTGCTGGTACTGGTCCTTCCTATCTGTCCTCAAATACGCCTGGCCAGAAGGCCGAGGAGATAAATGAGCCAGACAGGAATAGTTCGGTTAGGTAATCTGGCCAGGCTAGCAATGACCTTTTCTCCACTGACTTTTCCCCTACTGAGACCTGTATTTCCCCAAGGAAATCATAAATTTAGAAATTTGAAATCCCAATTAGGAATTCTATTTTCTAGTATTATCAGAAAGAACTCTTTGCCTAGTCCAATGGGGTTTAATGTGTCTGTTTTGTTAACTGGCTAACCCAGAGGGAGTTAGTAGGCACAGACTGATCTAGCCCTGAGTACAGGACCAGAGAGGCTAAGGCTTCCGTCATCAGAGGCTATGACTACTTTCTGTTCTCAAACCTCCTCTTAGCCGGGCGGTGGTGGCGCATGCCTTTAATCCCAGCACTCGGGAGGCAGAGGCAGGCGGATCTCTGTGAGTTTGAGGCCAGCCTGGGCTACCAAGTGAGTTCCAGGAAAGGCGCAAAGCTACACAGAGAAACCTTGTCTCGAAAAACCAAAACCAAAACCAAAAAAAAAAAAAAAAAAAACCTCCTCTTATCCCAGGATCATCAGCTGTGGACTGTGCACCCTATGGCTCAGACTCCTTCCGCTCCCCGAGTGGCCACAATCCTATGATCCTGCCTCTCTGGGTTTACAGTTAAGAAGTGAAAAAAGCCCGCCGTGGTGGCGCACGCCTTTAATCCCAGCACTCGGGAGGCAGAGCCAGGCGGATCTCTGTGAGTTTGAGGCTAGCCTGGTCTACAGAGTGAGATCCAGGATAGGCACTAAAACTACACAGAGAAAACCTGTCTGGAAACCTCACCACCACCCAAAAAAAGTGAAAAAATTATCGAAATGCTGCCTGTCCCCAGTAGCCTGCTACTCTCCAGCCAGGTGTGGTCTCATGCCTTTAATCCCAGCACTCAGGAGGCAGAGGCAGGCAGATCTCTGAGTTCGAGGCCAGCCTGGTCTACAGAGTGAGTTCCAGGACAGCCAGGACTGTTTCAAAAGTGCTGGGATTATAGGTTTGTGCCACCACACTTGGCTTATTGCTATCTTGGTATGGTGAGGTTGTGTTTGTGTGCATATTCACATATGTGCAGATGCGTGTATCACATATGTGCAGATGCGTGTACCTATGCATGTCTATATAAGAAGGGTAGAAGTCAACCTATAGTGGTGTTCCTCATGCATGCTCTAGCTTGTGTTTTGAGACAGGTCTCTCACTGGCTTTGAGCTTTTGAAGTAGGCTAGGATGGCTGCACATTGGCCTCAGCAGTCCATCTGTGTCCATGTCCCCAGCCCTGGGGCTGTAGAGATCGGACACCACACTCAGGTCCCCAGGCTTGCAGAGTAAGCGCTTTACTGACTGAACCTTTACTGACTGACTCCAGCCTTCCGGGTGAGACAGGCTGTCCATTTGGTCTCAGATTTGATAGCCTGGCTCCCGAGTGCAGGGATTACCGACAGGTGCCACCACACCCAGCAAGGAAAGCCTACCTAACCAAGGACAGGGGGTTGTGAGGTAAAGGCCGGACAAAGGACGACCGAGAGTTTAAGATCATCTTTGGCTACATAGTGAATTTGAGGTCAGCCTGGGCTATGAGAGACCCTGTCTCAAAAAATAAAAAACAAAAATAAAAAAGAAAGCCTGCCTAAATTGGAGGTGTTCTTATCATGGAGATGACTCCTGCAGTCCCCTTTGGACAGGGACAAAAGCCTTGATGTTTGTTTTCCTTTTGCTCTGCTCTGGCCAGGTTTGCAACCATTTTGAGAGGAAACTCCCTTCTGGAGTTAATGCTTCCGCCAGGCAGGGTGGTCAAAGGGAGTAGGCAGAGATGGGCGCTCTGTGGGAGGGCCCGCCTCTGTCTGAGGGAGAAGAGCAGCCCTGTGCAGTCTCTTTCCTTACCCAGGACTCTCTCTGGCACCCGGCGACTTTTTCCTGTCTGACCATACTTGGATCTGGCTGCCCTCAGCCCCTCACCTCTCCCTTACTTGGCCTGGATCCTGTTTTGACTCTTGTTTTCCAGTCCAAACCAGCACCCTCACACCTGTCCAGGGGTGTCAGCAATGTCTGCAGACCTCTCAGGGGTTGTACGGGGCCTGGCCAGCAGAGGTGGCTGTGGACAAGGAGGTCTTTTCACTGAGACTTGTCCTCACCGTCCTCCAGGTACTTCAAATAATTTCCCTCTTGTTTTATTTATGTATTTATTTGTTTTTGTGACAGATAAGATCTTTTGCAATCCAGGTTCACCTAAAACTTGCTATGCAGCAGAGACTAGCCTTAAGCTCCTGATGATCCTGCCTCAGCCTCCCTAGTGCTGCGATTTCCCCCCTTGGATTTGGGGTGTGTGTGTGTGTGTGTGTGTGTGTGTGTGTGTGTGTGTGTGTGTGTGTGTGTGTGTGTGTGTGTGTGTGTGTGTGTGTGTGTGCTGTATGAAATTGCAGGTGTGTGTGCATTTGTGCCACAGCTGTGCACACGGAGCTCAGGGGACAAGTTTGTGGACTCCGCTCTCCCCTTCTGTCTTTACTTGGGTTCCGGGGCTTGAACTCGGGTCACCAGCCTTTGTGCCTCTCCCTCTGAGCCATCTCGCCCTTTCCCTGCCCACCCCGCCCCCACTTCAGTCGCCTCTGAGAACAGCTTGTCACGTTGCCAGTTGTGGCCTGTAGCCTGTCACTATTAATCCTCCTGCCGCACGCTTTCGAATGCTGGGATTTCCGGAATGCAATGCCACACCGGGCCCCTAAAATGGAGTAATAAGAGTTTCTAAAGGCTGACCACCAAACCTTTAGGAAGAAGCCGTGCAGGCTTCTAGACATCAGCAAGCTGTTTTGGCTAGTGTCCTGCCTCTGGCTTGGCCTTTTCTCTGTTTGTGCTCCGTTTTGTCAACTTCAGCTAAAATCAAGATACAGGAAGAGGAAACAAATCACAGTGTGTTTGTGCTGGGATTCTGTCACAGACTGAAATTCCACCTCCCTGCAGGCTTCCCAGCAACCTTGGAGCATCTGTGTTGAGAATTCCTTCCTTAACCGCAAAACAGGGTAGAGAGTCTGGGAAGAGAGGCCAGGGCACAGGAAGGAACCGAGGGAGGGAGGGGAGGGTGCGGCTGTACGGTTTACAAAGAAGGCCAAGAGAAGACGAAGGCCACATTGAGAAGTTCCATCATTTTTCTCTCCCCCCCTCAGCTCCATGCCCAGTTTCCAGGACCCCTCCTCCCATGGTCGACAGGATCTCTTAGGCTTGCGATTGATTCACTGCTTCCCCGGCCCTTCCGGCTCCCCCGTGACCTGGTTTTCTAGGCAGCAATGTTCAACAGGTCACCGTTTTCAATCTCTCAGGCCTCCACAGGCATCTCTTCTACTCTCTCAAGCGTACAGAACCCAAACCTGGGTTTTCGGTCTTAAATTCTGTTCCCAGGAATAGGGAGAGCAGGGCCCGGAGGGTTCCGGAGTGTTTGGAGCCCTCCCGAGGGCCAGCCAGGGAGGGCGACATGGAGCACCCCCTCCACGGGGAGAAGAGCCCTGGCTCCCTGCCAACCCCACTTTCTGAGTGTGGGACAGGAGGAAGGCTTCTGCAGCTGGAAAGAGGCAAGGCTGAAAGCCCACGGGGAGAAGGGACAGAGCAGGACACACAGCACTGGCCGTCAGTCCGGGTGGGTGGGAGAGGATGTCAGTGGAGGAGTCTTCATCCGTGGAGCTATATAAAGGAAGCCCCCCAATTCCCCTCCTCTCCCAGCAACTGAAACCGTTCCTCTCTCTCCGTCTGTCCAGGAGGTTAAAAATACCCGCAATGAGCACCTAGCCAGACATTTCCAAGAGCCTGTTTACTGACCGCTTGGTTGACTTGAAGATGTCGAGTCAGTAGTTCCATCACCCCAAAAAAAGACAGAGGATGGACCTCGCTTGACATCCCGGGACTCAGGTCACGTGGAATTCACAATCCTGTCCCCGTGGCGTTCTGTCTCTCTCCCTCCATCACCCTGTTGCCTGGAGATAAACAGGCAATCGGCACACAGAAAAATCCCAGCGTACTGAGTTTGTTCATTCTTTTCTCTTTACGTAACAGGCTGAAGAAAGACTAGAAAGGACGAAGCCCAGGAAGGTCGGGATGGGACAAGAGCAATCTAGATCCACTGAACTGGGCCTCATGAGTAGTCTCAAGACCTCAGACCCTTGTACTACCCAGCTAGTCCACCTCTGGGAAAAGATCAGAATACCTTTAGAAAAAGGAATTCTGAAACTGGAGAGAAGGCTCAGAGACCTGTTAATCTTGCAGAGGACCAGGTTCTGTTCTCTGCACGTATACGGTAGCTCACAGCCTTCTGTAACTCCAGTTCCAGGACCTTTCTGACCTCTGCAGGCACCAGACATTCAAGTGATGCACATAGATACATCATGCACGTGCACGCTCATACACATAAAAGATTAAAAAGAACCAGGCAGCGGCGGCAGCGGTGACTCAAGCCTTTAATCCCAGAGAGGCAGATGGACCTCTGTGAGTTCGAGGCTAGACTGGTCTACAGAGTGAATTCCAGAACAGCCAGGGCTACACAGAGAAACCCTGTCTTAAAAAAACAAAAAATAAAATGAAAATAATAATAATAATAATAATAATAATAAGAAATGTAAAAAAAAAAAAAAGAAGAAGAAAAAGAAAGGAAGGAAAGAGAAAGAGAAGAAAAGGAATTTGAGACCTCTGTAGTCTTGTGTTGGATGTCTGCATTCTCTGGTCCTCATTTTACCACACTAAATGGTAGAAAGCTTCCCCTAAACGTGTAGACTGCAGACGTTAGAAGATTCAGTTACAATGTGCTTGAGGAGGTCAGAGAACATTTTGTGGGAGCAGGTGCTGTGGATATCGCTCTATATAAATAAAACACTGATGGTCAGTGACCAGGCAGGAAGTATAGGCGGGACAAAGAGAGAGGAGAATTGGGGAAACAGGAAGAAGGAAGGAGACACTGCAGCCACTGCCAGGACAAGCAGCATGTAAAGATGCCGGTAAGCCACCAGCCACGTGGCATGGTATAGATTTATAGAAATGGGTTAATTTAAGATATAAGAACAGTTAGCAAGAAGCCTGCCACGGTCATACAGTTTGTAAGTAATATAAATGTCTGAGTGATTATTTTATATGTGGATTGTGGGGCTGTGGGGCTTAATGGAACCTGGAGAGAAGCTCTCCAGCAACAAGCAGGCTCTCCTCTGGGATTACAGACATGCACCATGCTGCCCAGGCTACTCTGATTTTGAGTAACAAACGCTTTTTGTCCTAACAGTGCCCAGATAGATTCTCCACTTACTGTGCTTTATGTATTTTTTAAAAAATATTTTTTTGTTAATGTTTGTATGCCTGTGTTTGTGTGAGTGAACAGCTCGTGTCTACGGGTGCTCAAGGAGGCCAGAAGAGGGCTTCAGATCCCTTGGAGCTGGAGTTTGTGAGCCACCTGATGTGTGTGTGTGTGTGTGTGTGTGTGTGTGTGTGTGTGTGTACATGTGCACAGGCACTATGGCACACCTGTGAAAGTGAGGACAGTTTATGAGGAGCTGGTTCTCTCCTTCCATGTGAGTAGTGGGGATTGGACTCTGATCATCAGGTTTGGTGGCAAATACCTTTTCTTTTTTTTGTTTTTTTGAGACCGGGTTTTTCTGTAGCTTTGGAGCCAATTCTGGAACTCGCTCTGTAGACTAGGCTGTCCTCGAACTCACAGAGATCCGCCTGCCTCTGCCTCCTGAGTGCTGGGATTAAAGGTGTGCACCAGCACCACCCGGCTGGTGACACCTTTACCTGCTGAGTTATCTCGCTGGCCCCATTTACGTTTTGTGATCTTCACAACACCTCTGGGTCAGTTGTGTCATCGGCCTTCATTTTATAGATGAACAGTCTGAGCGAGGGGTGGTGACACATGTCTACATCCCCAGCATTTGGGAGGCAAGAGGGTCAGGACAGTGAGGTCAATGTGGGCTATCGAGACTCTTTCTCCAAAATACACACACACACACACACACACACACACACACACACACACACACTACACACTAGCTGGGGCATCTAGAGGTCAAAGGTCAACATGGGGGGGAGGGATCTTCCTTAATTGCGATTCATCTTATTATTTAAAAAAAAAAAGAAAGAAAGTCACATGATGGGGCAGCAGCAGTTAAGAGCATTTAACCTGGCCTGGATTCCCAGCACCCAACGGCAGCTCCCAAGCGTCTCTGACTCCTGTTCCGTTCCCTCGAGCTCCGGGGGGCACGGGATGGCATGGAACACAGACATGAGGACACAGCCATCCACAATCATTAAATAAACAAACTTGAAAGCAAGGCGGCAGCGAATGAACTGCCCATGGCATGGAGAGTTTAAACACGCTGTCCAAAGTCACAGGGCGGCCGGAGATGCAGGGGGCGTGGAATTTAGTTTGGGTCCCGGGTCAGCAGCATTCTTAATAACTATTTCTCCTAAGAACCTGTGCTGGTTGGTTGTCAGCTTGACCCCCATTAAAGTCATTTGGGAGGAGGGGACCTTAACAGAGGAGCTGCCTCCATCAGACCGGCCTGTAGGAATTTTGATTCATGATTGATGTGGGAGGAGCCCACTGTGGGTGGTGCCGTCTCTAACCACGTGGTCCTGAGATTTATAAAAAAGCAAGACGAATAAGCCATGGGGAGCAAGCCAGTAAGCAGCACCCCTCCATGGCCTCTGCATCAGCTCCTGCCTCCAGGGTCCTGCCCTGGCTTCCTTCAACGATGGACTGTACTCTGGACACGGAAGTCAAATAAAATCTTTTTCCGCTCCCAGTTGCTTTCGGACATGGTGTTTATCACAGCGATAGAAGATAAACTAAGAACTGTGTCGGAAGGCTCCTCACTGAACTTTTTCCAGGTTCTAGATTCATGCTCACTGGGCCAGGCCTGCAGCCCTAGATCTGTAGTCATCTCTAGGAGGGGTTTTCAACCTCAGAAATACTGTGTACAGAAGGTCAGCATGGAGGGGGGTAAGATCTTCTTCCTGTTAGGAGGCTTAGGACAGGAGGGCCAGTTAAATGTACACTTTATCTCCCTTCTGTGATCTGTCACTTCGAGGTGATTCAAGGAAAAGAACCTCTGGCAGGACTATGTGGATTTCTCGAAGAATTAATCAAAGGTGGGCTGGGGAGAGGCTGGGTCAGTAACGTGTTTGCCACACAAGTATGAGTATCTGAGTTAGAATCCCCCAAACCTACTTAGGAAGCAGGACCTGGCTGATGTTTATAATCCCAGTGGTGGAGAGGTGGAGACAAGGAGATCTCTGGGGATCCCTAGCCAGCCAGTGGAGGAGCTCCTTAGTGAACCTCAAACTCCTATTGATACATCCTAGCTTAAAAAAAAATAATTGTGGACAAAGCAATAACACCCAAAGTTGTGCTCAGGTTCTCTCTCTCTCTCTCTCTCTCTCTCTCTCTCTCTCTCTCTCTCTCTCTCTCTATCTCACACACACACAGACAGGATATTAGTCAATGTCATTAGACCTGTGTGATTACTTCTTGCTGACTGTACGTTTAGTTACATCCTCTCTCCACAATGTTCTCTCTCAATGCCCCAACTCTAGTTGGATCCTTGCATTTTCCTTATGTTTAAAGGAGGCCCTTGATTTTTTTGTTTTAAATTAACTACCTGTAGCTGTCGCTTTGTAGCCCAGACTGGCCTCAAACTCGATACCATGTAGCTGAGGATGGCCTGAATTTCTTGGTTCTTAGAGAGGATCTCATGTATCCCAGGCTGGCCTCAAACTCATTATACAGCTGAGCATGACTTGACCATCCGTGATCTTCCTGCCTCTGCCAGGATTGCTGGTATGAGCCACCAGGCCTTTTTACACTGTCCTGAAGATCCAACTCAAGGCTTTGGCTTTGTGCATTTCAGGCCAACAGTTTACCACTGAGTTTCATCTCTAGTCTTAAAAAAAGTCTTGCTGTGTAGCCCAAACTAGCTTGATCTCTGTCTCTCTTCTCTCTTCTCTCTTCTCTCTTCTCTCTCTCTCTCTCTCTCTCTCTCTCTCTCTCTCTCTCTCTCTCTCTCTTTCTGGTTTTTCAAGACAGAGTTTCTCTGTATAGCAGCTCTGGCTGTCCTGGAACTTGCTTTGTAGATCAGGCTGGCTTTGAACTCACTGTGATCTGCCTGCCTCTGCCTCTGCCTCTGCATCCTGAGTGCTGGGATTAAAGGTGTGTGCTACCATGCTTGGCCCTAGCTTGAACTCTTTTTTTTTTTTTTTAAAGATTTATTTATTTATTACATATACAGAAGAGTGTGCCGGCTCTCATTACAGATGGTTGTGAGCCACCATGTGGGTGCTGGGAATTGAACTCAGGACCTCTGGAAAAGCAGCCAGTGCTCCTAACCTATGAGCCATCTCTCCAGCCCCCTAGCTTGAACTCTTGATCCATTTGCCTCAGTCTCCCGATTACAGGCATGTGACATTAGACCCTGCTATTAATTTTATTTTCCTTGGGGTATTTTTCTCCCTCCCTCTCTCTCTTTAATTTTCTTTTTGGCTTTTCTCAGATCTTCCAATACTAGATTGGACCCGATGAATAAATAATACTCAGAACTAGATCTCTACTCCTGGCTGTACGGGTAGGCTGTGGCTCTTTAAAGATTGAAAAGCATGTGAGAAGAGCATGGGAAAAGAAGGGCCAGTGTTAGGTGGGGAACAGCTGCGTGGTGCCGAGGAAGTAAAGCTAAGTGAGTCTGCAGACAGAGAATGTCCCAGGGTGAGGCAGAAATTGTGTAGAGAAGGCAAAAGGAAGCGGAGTGCAGCCTGCTCTGCTCTCGGGAGGGATGGGTTTCCTCTTGGGGAGTACTTCTGGCAACTTCCTTCCTCAGCTAATTGCTGTGCTGCACGATATGGCAGTGACTGGTGAGGCCGTGCTAAGTCTAAATTAATTACACAGAATTGAAATTCCATTTTTTGTCACGGTCGGCAGCTCCATGTGCTCATGCCGCTGTGCCGGACAGCACAGGTCCACACAGCATTCCCACCCCCAGAGAACCCTCTGGAAGGCCAGGTGTGGCCACTTACACCTAGCAGCCCAGTGCTCAGGTTGAGGCAGTGGGATGGCCAGCCCCGTGCGAGAGTCCCAGACTAGTTTGGGTGACAGTGAGACCAACCTCAGAAAGAAAACTGAATCTTGTAGACAGCGCTAGATGGGGTGGGAATGGGGGTTGGGGTATCAGGAGAGGGTGCCTATCTATGTTCCGCCTCTTGCAAGCTGGAATCTCTTAAGTGGCCTGGGGTGCAGTTAGCCTCTCCTGGCCACTCATATGAAGTCTGAGTAACTAGACTGTGTCCACACATACCCGGGTGCAGGCCTCCCCGACTCTCCATCCTCTGGTCTGGCCCTCTCTCCCCCTTTTATCCCTGCTCCACCCCCCAATCCCTGGAAACCAAGCAGCATAAAAAAACATCCCGCCAACTTTGACCTAGTTTCCTGG